TACGGGGGGGGCGAGGGAGTGGAGGCAGGGGGGAAGAGGGTTAGTTCCCTCGCGGTTGGGGCGGATGTAATCCGGCCCTTCCGGGAGGGGGCGGGGCCCCGGGTACACGTCGGGTCTGTGACTCGCGTCGCCCGGTTGGCCCAGCATGGACGGGGGATCGGGGCCGCTCGGACGTTTCCGAGGCAGGGTCCGGTCTCCCGGAGGACCCTGGGGGCCGCTGGGACGTATTCCCAGGCAGGGCCTCGGGGTTCGAGGAGTTGGTCGGCAAGTCTGCCGGCCAACACCCGATCCTCCGTGACGAAGCGGTCAGTCCCTGCGTCTGGGGCCGACGTCCCGCTGCTGGGGCGTGTGGCCTGGCGTACGGGGCTGGTCGTGGAGGGCGGAGGATCGGTTCGTGTGCATGGTGTGTGTGAATGGGCCGCGGCCGGCTGCCGGTGGATATTTCCCTGAGACTAACCAAGGGGGGAGTAGTAAACCCCCCGATCGGGGACGAGCGGTGACGTCTGTACCTGACCTCTGCCATGGACTACGCGGGACCGTAAGACCAGTTTACTGGCAAAGTCCGCAGGAAGTGGCATGTTCAATGTGGGAAAACCGCTCCCGTCTCGTCCGTCTGGAGCCTATCAGGGCGTTGAAGCCGGCAGTCCGGGCGCGGGTGTGGGGGGCCGGTTAGCCGCCGACCCCCCATACCCAGCTGAGGGGGAGAGTTCCTCGGCAAGCTCTAGCCCGGGGGCGGGGTGAGCGACCGAACGGATCGGCACGCGCCCCGCTCCTGGGGTGAGGATAAGCCTTTAGCATATTGGTGGGCCTGGCCGTCTCCAGGGACATTTTTCGTAGATTCATTGGTCGGGATAGGGGTGGCTCCCCGACAAGCGGCTTCTCCGCTTCCCGGCCCTTAACTAGGGCTTTACTTAACCGGGGATAGAACCCCCACTGCGGTGGGGGTCCCATGATGGGCGAACCGGTCGTAAAATTACCTGCCATCATGTCTACAAACAAAACCCATGCACGAGGAAGAGTAGGAGACGGAAAAGCGGGCAGCTCCAAGGGGACGGGAGGTGGGTCGGCTGAGCCCCAAGGAGAGACCCGATGCGAGGAAGCCAGCACGCTGGTTAAGAGGACGCGTGGCACGAGGCCAGGGCCGCTGTCCTCTAAACTGGTCAGAGACCTTCCGCTTCCGGATTCGGATGACTCCGATACGGAACGGATAGTCGATGTGGAGGATGTCGACTCCACAGACGGTGACGAGACGTCGTCAACCTCTTCCGTGGACCAGGCGACTGGAAAGCGGAAGAAGAGAGGGAGGCCCCCGACGACCTATGCGGGGACAAAAAAGAAAAAAAGGGAGGAATGCAGGAGGGAACTCCAGCGGTTGAGAGCGGAGAAGAAGGCGCTGGAGGCGGTGTTAAACCCGAAGGTGACACCGAGATGTACAACACCTGAGGAGGACATCATCCGTCATCTGGAAGGCCTTAATCGGGAACAAATGGCGGCAGAAATGCTGGAAAGCATTAATCTGGTAGCGAAGGTTGCCCAGACATCTAAGAATTTAAAAGGCACCTACGTAAAAGAGTTAAAGACGTGTACCAGGAAACTGCGAGCGGCAGCCACAGTGGTGGGCACAAAGGTAGGTCCCAACAGCACGGCGCTGGAGGAGACTAAGAGGTGGAAGGAGAGGGTAAGGAACCTTGAGGACCAGGTGGAGAGGCTGACGACCCTCCTCCAAGAAGAGAGAGCCGCAAGGTTAGCGGCGGAAGGAAAGGTGCAGAGGGAAAAGGCCTCAGGGGAGGAGATGCCTGAAGCTGTGCAGGATGTGATCGAAGTGCAGCACGGGGCAGACCACACACCCCGGGTCAGCACCCGAGCGCAAACCAAGGGGAAGCCTGAGAGAATGGCGAAGCAAATGAGGCCCAAGGCCCAGGGCCCGAAGCAAGAAGCAGCGAAGAGGGGAAAACCGGAGGCAACAGGCAGGACTGAAGACACTGTCTACCGGCCAATGATCAGGGGAGAGAGAAAGGTGCTCAGAGACCCGCCCGCGGAAGATGCTATGGAGGGCATCAGGAGGGTGATGGAGGGAGTCTCCATAAAGGACGTGGTCAGTGGAGAGCCGGATAAAGTGAAGCGCAACCTGGAGGATTTAATAACCAGGTGCCAGGGAGCGCTGATCCGAATCCCGAAAGGGAAAGGGGACAAGGAGAAGAAACTCCCGGTCATCACCAAGGTGGAGGAGGTGAGGACCAAGGTGAGTTTGAGGGCGAGAGAGACGGCGGCGCGAATCGTCCAGAAGACCAAGGAGGTAAAGGCGCCGAAGGAGCAGAAGACCCGGGAGGAAGAAAAGAAGACCCCGGCTCTAGCCAAGCCGAACACCTCCTGGACTGAGGTGGTCAGAAGGGGCAAGAAGAAGACGGCGGGCTCCAAGCAGGAGACGGCGGTGAGAAACGGAAAGCCAGAACCTGCGGCGGCCGCCAATAAGACTGCGGGAAAGACGGCGAAGGGGGAAAAACCACCAAAGAGGAGGTCACCCAAATCAGCGGCGGTTGCAATTACCTTCCCGGAAGGACAGGCCGGGGAGGGAATGAGGTTCCTGAGGTCTAGGATTAAGTTGGAGGACCTAGGAATCGAAAAGGTTAAGAGCAGGAGAGCCCTAAACGGGGCAACCCTGCTCGAAATCCAGGGAGGAGGGGACGCGAAGGCCAAAGCCGACAAACTTGCCACCCAGATCATCAGAGAGGTGGGAGAGGATAAGGGGGTAAGGGTCACCCGTCCCGAAAAAAGGGCGGAGATCCGCCTAAAGGATCTAGATGATTCCATAACGGAAGAGGAGATCCGGGCTGCAGTGGCGAAGGCTGGAGGCAGGCTCCCGGACGACGTCAAGGTGGGCCCTATCCGGCAGACCCCCAGCGGCCTAGGAACATGCTGGGTTCAGTGTGGACTGGAAACGGCCAAGAAGACTGCGGAGGAAAGGAGAATAAGGCTGGGCTGGGTGTCGTGCAGGGTGGAGCTGCTCGAACCTCGCCCACTAGTGTGTTTTAAGTGCCTGGAGAGGGGGCACATTAGAGCACAGTGTAGAAGCAGCACCGACAGGAGCACACTGTGCTATAGGTGCGGCAAAGAAGGGCACAAGGCGCAGGGGTGTAACGAGACCTCCAACTGCGCCGTGTGCAAGAGTAGAGGAATGCCCTCCAACCATAAGGCTGGAGGTGCAGCATGCCGACTCCCGACCAAAGGGGAGAGAAAGAGAGCGGCAAGGACGAGACGAGAAGAAGGCCGAAACAAGGAGCAGAAAACAGGCCTGTCGACAGCACAAGAGGAGCCGATGGACACAGAGCCAGCGGCACAAGGGAAGGAGAGAAACAGCCAGGAGGAGGCTGGGAAGGCATCGCCTTCACGGCGTTAAGGGCGCTCCAGGCGAACCTCAACCACGCCTGCCGGGCCCAGGATCTGTTCCTCCATAGCCTAGCAGAGCGTGGTTGCGGGCTTGGAATCGTCGCTGAGCCGTACCGTGTCCCTAAGAGTCCCTGTTGGGTGGGGAGCACGGACGGCTCGGCGGCGATCGTCTGGAGGAGAACGGGGGAGCGCGCTCCCCCTTCTCAAAATTGAAAGCCGGAGGTGGCTGGGTGGCGGCCAAATGGGGGCCCCTAACCGTAATAGGGGTCTACCTGAGGCCCAGCCTCACTCGTGCGGAAGCGGACGCGAAGCTTGAGGAGATAGAGGATGTGGTCCGGGAGTACCTCCCCGGACCAATACTGGTCGTCGGGGACTTCAATGCCAAATCGGCACTTTGGGGTTCCCGGCGGCCAGACGCTAAGGGGGCGGACGTGGAGGCCTGGGCAGCGCGCCTGGGCCTCCACTTAGAAAACGTAGGAGATGTCAGCACCTGCGTAAGGCCGCAGGGGGAGTCAATCGTCGATCTGACGTGGACCCCCTGCGGCCGCGAGGAGGGTAAGTGGATGGGGAGTGGCGGATGACCTTGAGCTATTATCCGACCATCTCCCCATCCACATAGAGCTCTCATGGGAGGATAGGAGACGGAGGTCGCGAGAGCGTACGAATAGGTGGAGGACGGATAAGGCAGACCTTGACAAACTCAAGGAGTCCCTCAACGCTGCCTTGTGGACGCGACCGGAGCCTGCCGACACCGTAGAAGAGGAGGTGGAGTGGCTGCGACACGCTCTGACCAATGCGTGCGACTCTGCGATGCCGCGCGCGAAGTTTGCCGCTCGCAGGGCGGCCCACTGGTGGTCGGAGGAGATAGATGAGCTGAGGAAATCCTCGGTGGCCGCCAGGAGGGCCGTCCTGCGGGCGAGAAAGAGGAGGAGAACTCCACCGGCGGAGGAGGAGAGACTCGTGGAGGAGTACCGCCAAAAAAGGAAGACGCTGAGGGCAGCGATTAGGACTGCCAAGGAGAAGGCGTGGGAAGAGCTAATCAGCTCGCTTAACGAGGATCCATGGGGACGCCCCTATAAACTTGTAATGAACAAGTAAAGTTCGGGGGCGCCCCCTACGGTGGAAACTCTGAACCCACGGTTTCTCCAGGAGGTGGTAGAGACCTTATTCCCGGCGGGGAACGACGGCGGTCGTCCTCCACGGGGTGGGGAACATGGGGGGGAGCATCAGCCTCGGCAGGAGGAGCTGGGGGTTACCCGGACGGAGCTGGCCAAAGCGGCTAAAAAGCTCAAAAAGGGTAAAGCGCCAGGTCCGGACGGGATCCCCGGCGTAATATTGAAGGCAGCCCTGGGGGAGCTCTCCGACAGACTGGAAGGGTTGTTTACCCGATGTCTGGAGGGGGGCGTCTTCCCGGGGCCGTGGAAGAGGGCGAGGCTGGTGCTCCTCCCCAAAGAGGGCAAACCCCCGGACGAGCCGGGGAGCTATAGGCCGATCTGCCTCTTGGACGAGGCCGGGAAACTTCTCGAGAGGGTGATAGCGTCCCGTCTGATGGGACACATCGAGAACGCCGGGCCCGGCCTGTCCGAGAGGCAGTTCGGCTTTAGGGAGGGGCGCTCCACGGTGGACGCCATCGTCCATGTGCGCGAGATTGCGGACGGAATGATGGGGGATGGAGGGGTTGTGTTGGCGGTTGCCCTCGACGTGGCAAACGCCTTCAACTCCATCCCCCATCGAGAGATCGGGGTGGGTCTCGAACGGCTGGAGGTCCCCGGTTACTTACGTAGAGTAATCGGGGACTACCTGCGAGACAGATCGATCTCGTGCACGGACCGGGAGGGGGATGTCCGCATATGGAGGGCGGACCGCGGCGTCCCGCAGGGGTCGGTCCTAGGACCACTCCTGTGGGACGTGGCGTACGACGGCGTGCTGCGCGCGGCGCTCCCCACTGGCTGCACATGCGTGTGTTACGCGGATGACACACTGGTGCTAGCCGGTGGGGAGGGCTGGGGGGAGGCCATCGCCAAGGGCAACTTGGCGGTGGCCTGCGCCATAAGGGCGATTAAGACGTTAGGGCTGAAGGTGGCGGCCAAGAAGACCGAGGCCGTCTTCTTTTATGATGGCTCGGCCGGGCCGCCACCTGAAGCCAGAATTAGCGTGGATGGCGAGCGCATTCTGGTGGGGGCCCAGATAAAATATCTGGGCCTCCACATAGATGGAACCTGGGGCTTCGAGGAGCACTTCCGGAGACTGGTGCCCAGATTGGACAGCGCGGGTAACGCGTTATCGCGCATAATGCCCAATCTGGGCGGGCCGTGTGGGAGGACTCGTCGGCTTTACGCCAACGTGATCTCATCGATGGCGACGTACGGTGCCCCCGTGTGGGCGGAGCCCCTCCTGAGGAACAGGAAATCCCTGTCGATCCTCAGGGGGGCTCAAAGGCGGATGGCCATCAGGGCCATACGGGGGTACCGTACGGTATCCCACACGGCGGCCACGCTGTTGGCTGGGATGCCGCCCCTTGACCTGGTGGCGACCGAGTATGCCAAAGTATACCGGCGCACCAGGGAGCTCCGGGGGCAGGGCGTCCCGGTCACGGCGAGGGTCCGGAGGCTCCTCGGGGCCCAGGCGAAGAGGGAGACACGGGAGGAGTGGCGGGCGCGACTGTCGGCGCCGCTTACGCCGGGCAAGCGCACCGTCGACGCCATCCTCCCGTGTCTAGATAAATGGATGGAGCGCCCGTGGGCGAGGGCCTCCTTCAGGACGTCGCAGGTGCTCACCGGGCACGGGTGCTTCGGGGGGTACCTGCGGCGGATAGGGAAGGAGGCGAGCGAGGGGTGCCACCACTGTGGCGCAGACAGGGACTCGGCGCAGCATACACTCGAAGAGTGTACTGAGTGGGATGCGCAGCGCCGAGTCCTTGTCGACAAAATAGGCCCTGATCTATCGATGCGTGCGGTTGCGGCTGCGATAGTCGGGGATAGAGGGAAGTGGGAGGCTTTCTCCTCCTTCTGCGAGCATGTTATGCTGCAGAAGGAGGAGGCTGAGCGAGTGCAAAGGGGGAAACCCCCCTAGCACAACAAGGGGACGGGGGAGCGGGGGTAGGTAGGAGAAGAGCAAGGAGAGGGATCCCCGCTCACCTAAAAAAGTGGTGACCAACCAGAGCGCGGGTCGATAAAGCGAACGGTCTCCGGGGAGGGAGGCGGCTGACGGTACGAGCAGCTGCCTCCCTCTCCACGATGACCGACTGCGTGCGTTAGTTCGTAGTATAGGAGTATTGGGGGGGAGGCGGGGGC